ATTAAGCTTAAGTTATGGATGGCACCAGGTGCCAGTGACAAACCAATTCTTGCCAGAGATGGATTTGTGAGATTCTGCAGGTGATATTACCAGCTGGAGGAAGGAACAGATATGCCTCTGAAGGGCAGTTAGTTACAACCAGATGTATTACGAAAGGATTTAAACCTCCCTATTGCTCAAAGGGGAGGAAAAATGATAGAGAAGAAAGAATTTGAGTGAGAACATACAGGCTGAAAAGCAAGAGTTGAAATGTAGGAGCTGCCCTCTAGACTGGATGAAGAGCAAAGCAAAGAGTCTTCCATCCATGGCTCCCAATCTTAATCATGGGAAAATGTGTCCAAGAGCACTGTGAATCTAATAATAACCAAGACGGCACAGTTGTTGAAAGGAATTACATGGTACAGGGCTACTAGAATTTTAAAAATAGAGTTTGAACAAATTAACTATTCTGATAAATAAAGTATGGCTAGAATCATCATCGACATCAATACAACTGTCCATTTTTCTTTACACTTACTATTCAACATCAATCTTTATCAGTTTAGTTTACAGAAGCGAACATCAAAATTATAACTTCCTGTAAAATAAATATGCTAGCCCCACATTTTCCACAGAAATTAGGATTGTTTTATTTTTACCTGGTTTTGGAAAAATCAAAGTGAAATAATTTCATATAAAATAATAAAAATAACCTTTCCTATTTTCATCTACTGAAATGCTCTGAAATTATTAAACATGCAATAAAACGTATTTTCTTTAAGAAAAAGATGCCAAATTGGATAGCTGTAGTTACATTACTGGGGGTCTTGAAGAGCCTGTATTACTGCTACTTTTTGTGCTTTTGTTCCCTTTTCCCCTTTAGATTTTGTTAATAATATTCAGCTGAAACCTTAACTGAAACACTCACCAAAGTTGTTTGCGTAAAACCCAAATCTTCACCATTCTCAAGTATAAAAGCTTAGCAACATACATTATGACCAAAATCTTGGCAGGTAGTGACAGTAACCTTGAAGCTAGTGACAATGCTCCCTCTAACTCCAGGGTAGTCTTTTCCCTTGTCTTTTCCTGAAGGCACAGCAAGGAAAAAAAAAAAAAAATCACTCCAGATGCAGAGGGGACACTACACAGCACAAATGGCACACTCAACTTTAATCTGGGGAAGAAAAAAGCCTATCTACTCATTGGATAGCTAACTTCAATGCAGCAGATTCACAACAAGATTACTCCTTCAGCACCCCCCCTTTTTATATAGTGAGAAGTAAAACCCAGCTGAATATCCAAATGTAGTTGAGTGATACTAGAAATCTGAATCCTAATTTACAGAAGCAGCTTAAGAATGCGTTTTCATTGAATATGGGCTCCTTTACTTCTGAGCATTCAACAGTGTGCTCAGCAAAACTGTTGGGCGTTTCTGTGTTTTTGAAAGTCTGCCTCTTACGACCTTAAGCATCTATTCTACACGTTAGAGACTTCCACATCTAAATGCATTCATCACTTTTGAGAACAGGACTCTTCCTGTTCTAACGACTGCATTTCAGAGCTGCAGACACTTTTCACAGGGAGCCAGACCGCGAACTCAAAGCACAGATGACTACTCTACAGCTATGCCCTCCTTGACACGCTCTCTCTAAAAGGGCTCCGAGAACTCGATCTTGCCCTAGAGTCCCAAACTGGCTGTCCCACCAGACAGCCTACTTTCAGCCTATAAATTTTACCAGCTTTGTCCACCCGTGTTGCCCTGATAAACTGTGCTGGTTATAGATATAATTTTAAACAGTGCCCGAGGTGTTCTGTATCTCGACTTTTACGTGGTCTCTTTTGGATGTGGGATTTATGTCCTTTTCATATTCACCCTGAAGGCTTTGTGGGAGCTAAGTTACACCAAACATGAAGTAAAACCTTTTCTTAGATCTTCCAAAAGAAAACCGAAGAGAAGTTATTTCATGGCACAAACAGATACAATAATATGGGATTCCTAACAACTCACTGATGTTTGCAGAATTGTCTGTTTTTACCAGTTCTGACTGCCCATTCTATGCAGGAAGTTGTTTCTCTTACAAATATTTATCTAAGCAAAGTTAGTATTCACACTCTTAAAATGTCAAGATTTATTGACCGAATATTATTAAAAATATTTGGCCTAGTTTTTGTCAGCCTGTCAAACAGAACGCGCAAGGTAAGGAAAACTCTGCAGTTATTCATGGTGGCTCCTTTCCCCCTTTCAGGCACCTCTGACAAGTCCTTACTGAAACCTCTCAGACATCAGGAGTAAACAGATTTCTACCATTTATCATCAACATTGTAAGCACTGCCCTACAGGGGACGGGCAGAGGTGTTCAAAAAGGCTTACTGAGATAATCTTTACTTAGGCTGTATCATCAATTAGGCAACTCGGCCAAGGACAGTAATTACGACTGCGCTAAATTGCACTGAATTTCTGTAGCACTGACATTTCACAGGAAGGAAGGTGCAAAGTCAAAGGAATAGAAGCCAACACAGTGGCTTTTCTTACCTAATGACTTCTAGTACATCTGCTGGAAAAACGCGTAACAGGGACCTGGCTGATGCAGATGGCCGGGCTGGGACTGAGAGAAGAGCCGCACAGGAGCTCTCACCAACAGCCTCCAGTGGAGAAGCTGGACGGAATGCCTACAACTCCCACTTCAGCAACAGAGCTGACAACTTGCTGTTATCCTACATGACCCTCTATTCCTAACACAGACTGGCAGAGAGGCTTCATTCGACCCGCACGGAATCCAGGCCAAATCCCAACAAAATCAACAAGTCCCCCGGTGCACTTCCCCAACCTCTTCAGAAGCCAAGAGAGTCCCAGTCCTCACTGCTTTATCTGACTACAGCAGATTTCTTCCCAAGAGGAAGTTCCCACTTCAGACCTCCAAGCACACTCCAGTGATGTCTGCTTGGGTGTTACAACTGGCACTGCTGCGTCTTCTACACGTTTTACTCCCAAGTCCTTCATCAGGACTGTTAGCAAAATCCCTTACCGTTATTGAGTCAAAGTGGTAAGCTAAGAAAATTAATGTCATTCTCAGTCACATTTAGGAACTGCAAGCAGCTAAGCAGCTGACATGTATTCCTAGTAACTCCAAGTATATTATATTGAAAGAAGTCTAACAATAACACGTATTGATTTTGTCAAGTTTAGGCTTTTTTTTCCTTCCCCAAGCAACATATGTTGCATATTCTATATCTGAGGGTCTGCGTAGACGCAGGTTTCATTGCAGTAGCTCTGACTCTTGCCAAACAGATGTTGAGGGAAGAAACTTAACGCAAGATAGGATAAAAGCTGACTCAGATCAAAATGTTGGGTAACGCAGCGTACTCAAAGCACTGACTGTATACTGATATGCAGAACCAAAAGGTAGCTGAATTAATACTTGACTGCAGTGGTTGAAATCATGCTATTATGTAGAAAAAAACCCTGTCAAATGCTATGAATTATGCAAATTAAATGAGGGCAACTACGTAAGATTTTAAGATCCAAATATTCATATAATTCATTTTACCTAAAGTCCAGATTCCCACTAATATCTTAAAGGCTAGCTGAAATGGATTAAAAAGCAATGAAGAGTTTGAAAAGGGTTGTTTTTAAAACCAGCCTTTGAAATAATAAAATGGCAAGCAATTCCCAGTCCCCAAACTCAATGAATTGAAGAATTATCCTGAGACTGACAAAGTTCTCTGCAATTCAGTGTAATTTGTGTAATAACCAGCCAGTAGGGCTCAGCTTATTCCAATACTTTGTTCATGATGAAGCCTAATGACAGAATTCAGTTCAATTTACGGTCTGAGAAGACTAAGAGGTTAATTTTTTACCTTTCAGAATCAACATTTTTCATCACCCATACGGTTTTCCATTATGAAAATAATTACATTTGTATAAAGTACAGTCAGTTCAGCACATGGAAACTGACATGAAATTCTTCATACTTTTTTCCCTTAAATTTAGTAACAGTGTTGGCTCAATACATAGTACTGACTGCTTCAGGATTTTAGGCTTGCTTTAGCAAGTATTATAAAAGACAAATTATGTTAGAAGACTTCAGCGGCTACTTTCAATGTATTTCTGATTTATTCAAGAACAACTCCTTGGATGTCCATGACAACAACCCTTTCTAACCTCTCTAAGTTCTGCTCCTGCTG